CAAACGATTCGTTAAAACCAGAAAATAATTATTTAAGATTACGTTTGTTTGCTTAAACACGTAACCACCTGGATTCCACGGTGGCGCTGATCCCAAACATACACTTTAATGCATAATACTGTTTGATGTTAAGTACAAAGGTCTGGCCGCCTGAAGGGACAGCAGAGATTTAAAAATGTTAATTGCATGAGAAGTTCCCTTTTCTCTCTGCCAGCTGTTTGGGAGGAGGGAAGCACAGGGTGGTGGCAGAGAGACAACAACGTCCATGCTAATTCGGCAAACAGCAGAATGGAGTCTTTAGCCAATCGGCCAGAGGCCGTGGCAAATTTGAGCCGCTCAGAGCACAGTGTGGCAAAAATGAGCAAACTCTACTAGTGACCGTCTGATAAAGAAAGCCAGAGGAGGCGAAGCAAAAGGGAGCCATAAAATGAACGGCCTCCTGCCTCATAAATAACAGTAACATAAATGTCACATGAACTTTATTTCGAAAGCGGGCGGTCTAATAAAGATGCTGTTTTAAAAAACGAGCAGAGAAATACATTGTCGTAAGAAGGCCGTATCCTATGCTTTTCCACCTGCTATTACTCAAGCCGTGATGACACGCGAGACCTTGCCACGCCACCTTTCAGTGCGTAAACCTGCTTCACGTCACCTTTTCCCTGGGTCTGCCACCGGTACTCTCTGTTCTTTCTCTCAATCCCCCTTCGTCTTGCTCTCTCACTCTCTCTCTTGTTCTCACTCTTTTCAAATTGAGACGACAAGATAAGCGATTGCCACAGCTACAGCTGCCTGCTGCTCATTGATAAAACCATATCTAATCCGTCTTGGGCTCCCTACGCCTCCGATGCACTCCTCTCACAGTCTCAGAGTCTGTCAACAGAGAGGGGATCTATCTCTCTTTTTGAACTCTCAACAACGGCTACAGTTTTTATCAGTGAACTTTTGGGCTAGGAAATGGGGAGCGAATGAGACGGTTGACTTCTGTCCTCATCGAGCACACCTTGGGGGTCCCATCACGCTCGAGGAAATGACGTCAGCCTTTTCTCTTCTGCTTTATGCCATCTCGAACCGCTCTTCTGCTGATTATAAATAAATGACATGATTTCTATCCATCTGGCTTTTGCACAACAGCAAATAATCTTGGGATAAAAGTGCATGATGTATTTTTCATTTTAAGCAGCGTTGGATTGCTCATGTTTATTCATGAGGCTGTCAGTTTGGAAGCTTTCAGGTTTTTTCAGCTTGTGCTTTGACAATAGAATAAATGATAGATTTTGTGTACAAAGAATGGTTTGCTTGAACGGATGAAGTTGAAGTGAAAAGAAACAGTGCGATAAGAAGATTGACTTCAGAATTCCCTCTCGTATTTCTCGAATATCATTTGCTCTCTGAATTACCTGAGAGCAATTTAGCCTCCAGATAGAGTGGGGGGAATTGCCAAAAAAAAGGTGTCCACTTTGCCAATTAACCCAGTTCCCAAATGACACAAACGTCGTGCTCCCATTTACAAGGCTGATTTTATGAAGCCTGAGATGCATCCATGGCAGAATATTAATGAGCCACAGAGCAATCACTTAGCATATGCAAATCACTAGTGTTATAGTTTGTTTCTTTCTACAGGATGATGCACAGAAGCAGCCCATTATCCAGCCTGTTGAAATCTCGCAGTGTATGAAAAATAGTACACAAAAAATTACAAGGTCAGATATGGAATGTACATGTACCAGTACATGTCAGGAATATAATATACTAAACTGCACATAGCCCTAAACCTAAATATGACTGTAACACCTTCAAACATCAAAAAAATATTACTTAAAGAGTTCACCCCAAAATGTAAATTCTGTCATCAGTTACTCATCCTCACCAGACCTGTATGAGTTTCTTTCTTCTGTTGAACACAAAAGAATAACAGTTGACAGTAGTATAATATATATATATATA